ATGCAAAATTTAGGTGTGGGGTGGGAATTAGTTATTTTTTTCTCTTTATTTTACAATTTTAGTGCATTTTTGTCATTTTTTTCCTTTTCCTTAAAAAAAATTTTATAAAAATATCGTCACTTGCCAAATTGATAGAGTTATGTAATAATTGATTTATTTGATAAATTTGAAATTTTCTAATCCCTAATTAGTTATTTACTTAAGTTCACCTTTTATGATAACTCTAAATAAATTTCTTAAGAAATGATTTTCAAAGTAGTATACTTTACTTAAGCCTTAACTTGGACTTTTATTTAAAATAATGAAATTTTTGCATGCCTAACTTAGAGTTGAAAATAATTTTTCAAAGTGTCTTGATTTACATATTTTCAAAATATATATACAAAAAAAAAAGAAAAAAAAAAGAAAAAGAAGAGTGCGAAAAATGGGCACCAAAAACGAAAAAAAAAACTCTTGAATTCAAGGTGATTCTATCTTATAAAGCCTAAGCTGACCGAGTAATTAAGCCCAAGGAGAATTTCCATACTTAATGACCTAAGCCCAATTGGGTTGGGATCCATTGACCCAAAACTCGTTAAAAGGTCACTTAGAAAGCCCGTTAAAGTAGAAAAAAATCACCAAGGATGAAAGAGTTAAAAAAAAATTTAAATGTTTTATAGTTATATATATGGTCTTAGAAAATATTTTAAATCAAGCAACTTGAAAATTATTTAAAACAAAGAGTTAGCATGTTCTTTTCAAAACTTTTAAATTAAATTTCTAAGTTTGGCTTGGTTTCGTATTGCTACAATGAGAAGATTTTCTTGAAAATATACCTTAGAGTTATATATAAAAATGTTTTCTTGAGTGATAACTGGCTCCAATTAGATTATCTAAAAGTTATCAAGTGAATTTAGTTATTTACTGACTTCTTTAATTTGGCAAGTTGACCGAATTTTGTGGGTATATTCACTGCAAACCCTCACGAGACTACAACTCGTCCACTAGGGTAACCTAGGGGTTTAAAGGCTTGTTGTATGTGCTAAATACAACCGCGATTCCTGCGAAAGTGAGTTAGGATTTTCTTTTTATTTTCTTTGCTAGAGGACTAGCAAAAGTTTAGGTGTGGGGGTATTTGATAATCACTTTTTATTACAAATTTATACCCTCATTATCTATTTTATATGAATAAATATACGGGGTATTTGATAATCACTTTTTATTACAAATTTATACCCTCATTATCTATTTTATATGAATAAATATAATACTAATAATTGTTTTTATCTTTAATTGCAGGTTAATGAAGAATAAATCTCAAACTCCCATCTCTCAACAAAAACCCGTAGATTAAATGAAAAAATGATGCCAATTGGAAATTTGAATTTAAAAGCCCAAAAGCCTAAATGTCCCAAATGTCCATGGCAGCTCCTCCTTTTATTGTTTCACAAGTGAATATTTGAATTTTAGAAGGCCCAAAGCCCATTAAGAAAGATTATACCAAGGACCGGACTTGGATGCAAATAATTAGAATGAACCGGACTTGGATGCAAAGAGTTAATCTTGAAAATCAAATGAAATGGGAATGTGAGTGCTGCAGACTTGGCAAGTTGGCATTTGATTTTTCAAAATCAAATGGAAACCGGAGTTGTGCTGCAGAGTTTGAATGGGCCAAAAATCAATTGAAAATCAAATGAAAATCAAATGAAGTGAATGGGCCGAAAATCAAATGGACTATGAAATTGCATTTTGATTTTCTTTTGAATGATCGGACTGTGCTTCAGAGTTGGATGGGCCAAGGACTTGCTAAAAATCAAATGAAGATTTCCATGGGCCGGACAAGCATTGCTGCAGCAGAATCATATGGACCGGACTTCATTTTTTCTCAAACAAAAGCATAGGAGACCAGACTTCATTTTTTCTCAAACAAATGCATAGGAGACCGGACTTGATTGATGACTTTGGACTGCTGAATTGGCTTTTAATTTTGGAAGATCAAATGAAGCCAATAGGGCCGGACTTGTAAATGAGGACCGGACTTTTGCAGAATTAATTTTTAAAAATCAAATGAAGGGCCGAACTTGTTTCTTTGCTGCAGATCTCCATTGGACCAAAGTTTTATTTAATTTTGAAAATCATATGGGCCTCCTATGTTGGGCTAGAGAAGAACAAAAAGCAAATTCAAATGTGGAGATTGTTGCTTGGGGCTCAAGACAAATCCAATGGCTCATATTCATTGAAGATTACTATAAATAGGGGTAGAGAGTGAGGGGTTAGAGGTGTGAAAATTTTTGTAACTCCTTTTGGAGAGGAGGGCTACTCTTAATTGCGAAGGCCTTCCAAAAATTGTAACTTTAGTTGCAATTAATAAAAATAATTTTTTCCTCTTTAAATTTGTTCTTTCTCCTCTTGTTGAATGATGAGGATGGAGATGAAGAGCAATTTGAAGGTTTGCATTTCTTTTCTCTTTTATTTCTTTTTAGTAATTTCTTTATTATTGCTTAGTAGTTAGATTTAAATTCATGCTTGTAGCGTAGATTTACTTTCTTGTCTTTTTATTTCTTTTTGCACTTTAATTTGTAGAGTAGATTTATTTTCTCGCATTTAATTTTTTGTAATATATTTTATAGTTTAGATTTTTATTTTCTTTGTAGTTAGATTTATTTCTTGTTCATAGTTTAGATTTTTCTTTTCTTTAATTTTGTAATTAGTTCTTTTTCTTGTTTTTATTTCTTAAAGATGTGAATTTAATTCTTGTAGGAAGTTTAGAATTATATGAAACTAGTCTAATTTCCTTTATATTGTATGAATTATTCTCTTGCACTTAAAATGTTCATGTTTAGGATAATCAACTAGAGAACTAATCGGTAGAAGAAGAATTTGATAATCTATGCTTATCTTAAATGGTTTGATAGGTTATGCTTATGAATTCTAGGATTATTATCATGTTGTTGTTCTTATCATGAATAGTAATTTTAACTTAGATGATAATTTGATAGGTTACACTTTCCTTAAATGGTTTGATAATCTATGCTTAATAAATCTAAGTTGAAATATGAAAGAAAGAACGAAAGAAATGCGGGGCTGGTGGGGTAGGCGGACTGCACGGGACTACTAGTCCCGTGCAGCTCCATAATTGCAAAACCGACCCTTTTCGGTCGGTTTTGCTAATTATTTTATGAGAGGGTCGATTTTGCCCAATAAAATTGAAAAAATGGCTTTTTTAAAAATTTCTCCATTAAATTTTTTACTTTGCATGAAATAATGTAAGCTCACGATTAAAAGCCTTTCTCTCTCAAAAAGAAACAATTATAAATTTATAATTGCTTACATTCGTAAAAAGTTTTGGATAAATTTCATCAACATCCCGGAGCTTGGGGTTCCCACGAACCCCTGACTTTTTTTTCCTACCAAACTGGCAAACTCTCCTGGACTTCCAGGAAATCTTTCAAATTTACGCGTCGACCCCTCAAGCTTACTTTCTATATGAAAACGAGGAAAAGGTATTATGAGTTTTTGAGGAGCTCCGATAATGGGTATTGGGGTTGTTTTTTCTGTGTTGTATCTTCTCAAGAAGATTGTACTATTTATAAAAGTTACCCACCATCTCCACCCCCTCAATTACTGTTGTAGACGGTCAAAATATATTTTCACTGAAGATCCAAGAAGTGAACGCCCATGGGCGTAAACACTTCGAATGGGCCCAAAGTCAAGCCCATAACAAGCTGCAACGAAGATCACCTGATGATTGAAGTGAACCTCGCCAGGCAACTCATATCGATTCGACCAAGTCAGATACGAGTTGACGCCCCGCAACACGCTTCAGATCAAGTCAAAAGGCGTCATCAATTGGCCAAGCCTAGAGCAACACGTTTCAGATCAAGTCAAAATGCGTCATCAGTTGGCCAAGCATAGAGTTGAATTTCTGAGCTAAATTTAAACACATAGCCGAAGTTCGCTAACTAACGAACTTTTAGCGAACTTCGCCCACATGGACTAAGGCATCTACATCAACTCATTGTTGAGGTTCACAATCAACACGTAACATTCACAAACAATTTGTAACATTCACAACAAACTCATAACATTCACAACCAATGCATAACATTCATAATCAACTCGTAATCTTCACAACCAACTCGTAACATTAACAACCAACGCATAACCTTCACAACCAATGCGTAACATTCACAAACAACTCGTAACTTTCACACCCAATTCGTAACATTCACAACCAACTCGTACCCTGGGCAACCAACTCGTAAACTTCACAATTAACTCGTAACCTTCATTAACCACCAACTCATAAGCTTAACAACGAACTAATTACGATGAAATAGCAACAATATATAAATTTACATACTCTACTTTAATATCAAGTCATTGATTTAAAAAAAGTACAACAATATGTAAAATAACTAAAAAATATATAGCACTCAGATTCATGTACAAGTTAAAAAAATTACACCGGGAGTCACCGAAGCTCCCGCCTTTTCTTCGCCTTATGAACAAACGCCGAAAAAGTTTTACCCGCAGATGTCGACACTGTTGGAAATTTTTGGAGGGAACTAAAATCCCCCCCACCCAATTTCAAATCATCACAATAACATCATGAGAGAGAGAGAGAGAGAGAGAGAGAGAGAGAGAGAGTGAGAGAGAGAGAATTATAATATTCACATGTTTTAAACTTTTGGGTTTTGTGTTTTGAAGCCTCAGGGAATTATAGTTTTGCTTTTTTGGGTTTTAAGTTTTGCTTTTTTGGGTTTTAAGAGCGTTAAAAAAGTCTTGGGAGGTTGGAATACTTGTAAGAAAATTGGAGGCTAGAAGCAATTTTCCCAAAATTAAAACAGGTGTTGTTAGTCCATCACAGAAACACTAAAGTTCCATCAATAACAAACGGAAACCATAAAACAGAGCTAGACAAAATAGAATTGTTTTAAATCCTCCAGGGTAACACAAACAAGAAAACAAACCTCACATTGACACAAAAACAGTAAACACTGGGCTAGGCATAATCTAACAGTTAAATCTTTAGATTAAACAGCAATACTTACTATAACAAACTTACACATAAGTTTTAACTTCGCCTCTGTTACATTTTCGTCATCATCTATATCAAAAAACACCCTAGGGTATTTAATTTACCGCAACAAAACATACCATCAGGACATTTAAAAAATACATGTCCATTCAGATAACATAATTCAAAACCAGGTTTTTGCCTTCACTATATCTTCTTCTCTAGTGTTAACTGCAACCGAGTGCTGTTTCCCTTCAAAAAAGACTTTTGACAAAGGGTTTACTTAATCGCTTTTTCTTTTTTTGCTTTTACCCTTGAAAAAAGCCCTGAGCACACTTCATGTCCTAAGGATTACATACTCCTTTTCTTTATTTTCTGTTTGAGATAGAGCGATGCAATCCACCGAAGTTTCACTATGCAGATTAACTGCAAGTTGGCAGGGAAAAGCCGAGGCTCTCACAGAAGGCAAAACACAGGAGGAGCAAAAGGCAAAAGGAGTAGAGTAGCCTGGTTTTATCTCCTGAATGCCCCGTGTGATGTGAAGAATCGGTAATCTGGGTGATCAACAGAATGAAGCTGCAGCCAATTGTCCGCTGCTTGCAACAAGGAGCTTGCCAGTTGTTTCTCACACCCACCGGTAGGAGTCCATAATGGTCCTTTGAACTTGTACGAGGCTAGACCAAAAGAAGGAAGAGAGATCTTTGGTACGCCGTCAACTCCCTGGGGGTAAGTCACCGTAGGACCAGAAGCAGTACCAGCTCCTGAATGGTAGTACAAGTCATCATAATGTCTCGAAAAACAGAAAATGAAATTACATAAGCAATATATTTTCTGGCAGAAAGCATTAAAATGAGTAATCATATTTACATTGGATCAGACGCAACTCTGGAAGTATATCTATACTTACAAGGCATTATTTTTAGGAGGTGAGTAAAATAGACGGGAAAAAAGACGACAGGACAATGATTACCTTTACAGAAACACT